AGCTACAGCTCGAACTCTATTATTTCCCAATAATTGTTGAACCTCACAAGTCACGTTCGTTTGTTTACTGTCTCGCCCTTGAACTACTAGAGCATTATAAATATAAGGCATCTTACCAGGGCGAAAAGCTACATCTAGTACCGGACCAATTATTTGGACGATATGCCCTATATTTTTTTTTTCAATTGAGGAAACCTCAGAACCAGAAGTCGTAGGAGTGCTTCCCATAAAAAAAAAATTTAAAAAACTTTTCAAATTACAAATCACTGCCCGCAAGCGGAAGATTAATTCAATAAATGTAATAAGAAAAAAGGGGGGATTTTCTTGGTATTTTTTTATATTATCCAGTATCCAATAAATTAAAATTTAATAAATTTAATTTTTGTTGAATTAAGGAACTGAAATAGTTAAATTATTTTAAAGTGGAGGAATAAAAATATTGGGAAAGTATTTCAAAAGTATTTCATTAGAATTTGTTATTTCTATCCCATTAGTTTTTTTGATTTTTTTATTAGGTTAGAGAGGTAGTGTAAAAAAAGTGAAATTGAAAAACTGGGTTGCACTAGATATACAAAAGAGTATAAAATATTGATGCATTTGAAAAATTACTCAAATGCTTTGAGTTTAAAAATAAAAAATTATGATTTAGTTGATAATAGATAATATTGAGTACTCGGGAGGAATTTTGTGAACGATTCCGACCAAAAGCAAAATTAACGCAGAATTTAGGTCGAGTAGATCATTTTGTTGTCAGAATTATTAATTTATGAGTTATAAGGAGGAATATATGTCACCACAAACAGAGACTAAAGCACGTGTTGGATTCAAAGCGGGTGTTAAAGATTACAAATTGACTTATTATACTCCTCATTACGAAACCAAAGATACTGATATCTTGGCAGCATTTCGAGTCACTCCTCAGCCTGGAGTTCCCCCTGAAGAAGCGGGGGCCGCGGTAGCTGCGGAATCTTCTACTGGAACATGGACAACCGTGTGGACCGATGGACTTACCAGCCTTGATCGGTACAAGGGCCGATGCTATCGCATTGAGCGTGTTATTGGAGAAAAAGATCAATATATTGCTTATGTAGCTTACCCTTTAGACCTTTTTGAAGAAGGTTCTGTTACGAACATGTTTACTTCGATTGTAGGTAATGTATTTGGTTTTAAAGCACTCCGCGCTTTACGTCTCGAAGATCTTCGAATACCTCCAGCTTATACTAAAACTTTTCAAGGTCCGCCTCACGGCATCCAAGTTGAGAGAGATAAATTGAACAAGTATGGGCGTCCTCTCCTGGGATGTACTATTAAACCCAAATTGGGGTTATCCGCTAAAAACTACGGTCGAGCGGTTTATGAATGTCTTCGTGGTGGACTTGATTTTACCAAAGATGATGAGAATGTAAACTCACAACCCTTTATGCGTTGGAGAGACCGTTTCTTATTTTGTGCCGAAGCAATTTATAAATCCCAGGCTGAGACAGGTGAAATAAAAGGACATTACTTGAATGCTACTGCAGGTACATGCGAAGAAATGCTAAAAAGAGCTTTCTTTGCTAAAGAATTGGGAGTTCCTATTATAATGCATGACTACTTAACAGGGGGATTCACTGCAAATACTTCTTTGGCTCATTATTGCCGTGATAATGGTCTCCTTCTTCACATCCACCGTGCAATGCATGCAGTTATTGATAGACAAAAAACTCATGGTATACACTTCCGCGTACTAGCGAAAGCGTTACGGCTATCCGGTGGAGATCATATTCACGCGGGTACTGTAGTAGGTAAACTAGAAGGGGAAAGAGAGATGACTTTGGGCTTTGTTGACTTATTACGCGATGATTTTGTTGAACAAGACCGAAGTCGTGGTATTTATTTCACTCAAGATTGGGTTTCTTTACCCGGTGTTATGCCTGTGGCTTCTGGGGGTATTCACGTTTGGCATATGCCTGCTCTAACCGAGATATTTGGGGATGATTCCGTACTACAGTTTGGGGGAGGAACTTTAGGTCACCCTTGGGGTAATGCGCCTGGTGCCGTAGCGAATCGAGTCGCTCTCGAAGCATGTGTACAAGCTCGTAACGAAGGACATGATCTTGCTCAGGAAGGCAATGAAATTCTTCGACAGGCTAGTAAATGGAGCCCTGAACTAGCTGCTGCTTGTGAGGTATGGAAGGAGATTCAATTTGACTTTAAACCAGTGGATACCTTAGATCCAAATGAGAAGAAAGAAAGATATACTAAGGAGGCTCCTGCAGGAGATAAATACAGATAACTTATTCGGGAATGGGTAGAGGGAATTCAAGCAATTACTAACCCCCTTCTCTTCTGAATTGCAATTAAATTCGGCCCAATCTTTTACTAAAATCACTCAAATACTAAAAAAAGTAAACAGATTGAGCCGGATATCTATACATATTAATGAACTTCTTATTTATATTTGGGTATAGGTAGGCAAGAACAAATAGTTAAATTTGGTAATTGGGGTAGAGTTATATAAAAGGCAATTCCATTTTTGGATACTCATACCCATTATTTTAGGCAATAGCCTTAATGCTTGGGTTTCTCTTTTTATTCTGATAGTTGTTCAAAAAGAACTTGTGTTTTTTTATTTTGAGTTTAGGAATATTTTATATCAAACGACTATTCCATGTATTGCTATTTTATTTTCTATTGTATTTTCATGCATTGTATTTTCATGCAAAAAACAAGGGGCAAAAATTATGGAAATGTGGGGGGATAATTCATTGGATAAGAAATTTGAACGTGGATGGGGGCTAACTCAATCAATGGATGGTGTTAGCCGTCCTATTGAAGAAAATAGCAGGCAAAATGAAGATACGAAGAAGCAAGATATGTTTGAAAACATTCAGACTTGGGAGGATCGTGACAATTACGGTTGCAGTAATGTTGATTCTGTCTTCGAGTTAAACTATAGTGAAAGTGTCATCAAAGATGACACTTTTCTAGTTAGCGATAGTACTGGAAATAATTATTGCATCTATTTTAATATTGAAAATTATATTTTTGAAACAAAAAATCCTCACTCTTTCTTTAGTGAACCTTTTTATCTTTCTTCGAATTCAAGCAATCTCACTCAAATGAATGAAGTGAGTAACGAATCTAACTCTCAGATTGAGATTGCTCAGTCCGTTGAAAATTCTATTAAGTTGCAAATAGAGCGAACTACTATCACTACTAATGAAAATGATAGTACTGACAGTTTCAGTAATGAGTCCGTTGTTGATGGTGAAAGCTGCAATAGGAGCGAAGTCGAGAGTTCAAGTAGACAAACTCACATTGGGAGAGAATATCCTAAATTTAACCATTTGTGGCTTCTATGCGAAAATTGTGATACATTATATTATAAAAAACTTATTAAATTAAAACAGTATATTTGTGAAGAATGTGGAGATTATTTGCAACTGAGTAGTTCAGATAGAATTGATTTTTTGATCGATGAGAAAACGTGGGCTCCTTTCGATGAAGACATTCTTTCTCGGGACCCCATTCAATTTGATGAAGACTCTTCTGAAGAATCATCGGAATACCCTTATGAAGACTTTTCAGAAGACTCTTCTGAAGAATCGTTGGAATACCCTTATGAAGACTTTTCAGAAGACTCTTCTGAAGAATCGTCGGAATACCCTTATAAAGACCCTTCTAAATACTTTTATCAAGTATTTTCTAATTATGAAAACTCTTATGAAGAGGATCTTGATTTTTATCAAATAGAAACAGGCTTAACCGAAGCTGTTCAAACAGGTCTAGGCCAAGTCAACGGTATTACTGTAGCAATAGGGGTTATGGATTTTAAGTTTATGGGGGGTAGTATGGGATCCGTAGTCGGAGAGAAAATAACCCGTTTAATTGAGTACGCTACAGAAAATTTTTTGCCTCTGATTATAGTGTCGGCGTCCGGGGGTGCGCGAATGCAAGAAGGAAGTTTAAGTTTGATGCAAATGGCTAAAATATCATCTGCTTTATACAATTATCAATCGAAGAAAAGATTATTTTATATATCAATCCTTACATCTCCTACAGCTGGTGGAGTAACAGCGAGTTTCGGTATGTTAGGGGATATTATCATTGTTGAACCTAATGCTTACATTGCATTTGCAGGCAAAAGAGTAATTGAACAAACATTAAATCAAACCATACCTGACGAGGCACAAGAAGCTGAATTTTTATTTGAGAAGGGTTCATTTGACTTAATTGTACCACGTCATCTTCTAAAAAGCGTTATTAGTGAGTTATTTACGTTTCATGACCGGGGCACTTTCTTTCATTCAAAGTTCAAATTCATTTGAACTTTGAGTGAAAGAAAATAATTATATTGATTTTAGATTGATATAAATAGTTAGATAAAAACTCACAGATACAAATAAATATAGTAAAAAAAATACCTTTTCTATGAGTGACTTTCCGTCTCTTTTTATACCATTAGTAGGCTTAGTATTGCCGGCAATTGCAACGTTTTATTTATTTATTACTGTTCAAGAAAAATAAAAATTTTTAGATATTTTATATATTGAGATCCTCCCTTTTTTGTAAGTTGCTTTTTTTTGTATCATAACAGGAAGATCTGTGGAATCATATTGACTTAAGGCGTTATTTTTTTCTATCTAACCAAGTTTATGAATTACCCCTAAAGGTTTACATCAAACTAGTGCTAGATTCTCATCAAACAAATATTCGTTTGATGAGAATTACTTTTGAAATAGCAAAGTTCCTAATTAATGGTTTTTTTCTTAATTCCAATAAAATAAAATAAAATCGGATGTAATATGAGTTGGCAATCAAAACATATATGGATCGAACTTAGACCTGGGTCTAGAAAAATAAGTAATTTAGGTTGGGCTTTTACTCTTTTTTTAGGTTCATTGGGATTCTTATTAGTAGGAACTTCCAGTTATCTTGGTATAAATTGGATATCCTTTTTTTCAGCCCAGCAAATTCTTTTTTTCCCACAAGGAATAGTCATGTCATTCTACGGAATTGCGGGTCTTTTTATTAGCTCGTATTTGTGGTGTACTATTTTATGGAATGTTGGTAGTGGTTATGATCAATTCGATAGAAAAAGGGGAATTTTTTGTATTTTTCGTTGGGGATTCCCTGGAATAAATCGGCGCATTTTCCTCCGATTCAATATAAAAGATATAAGGTCTATTCGAATAGAAGTGAAAGAAGGTATTTATGCTCGTCGTGTCCTTTATATGGACATCCGAGGCCAGAGGGCTATTCCTTTGACTCGTACTAATGAGAATTTCACCCCGGGAGAAATTGAAAAAAAAGCTTCAGAATTGGCCTATTTTTTGCGTGTACCGATTGAAGTATTTTGAGAAGGGGGCTACACCTCTTTTCAGTTACTTTTTTTTCTATTTTTTATATATTTTCTATTTATTTTTCCAATTGCATTTTTTACTAAGACTCAGGAATACTAATTAGCCAATTGACCAGGCAGTTTTTTATTAGCACAAGCAAATCCCCTAGGAAGTTTAAGTATTCTATTGCTTACTATTTCATTCTAAATATTTAAATATCTAAACATTCAGTAATTTTTTTCTTTTTATTTTAATTGAAAGATTTGTATCGGATATCTGAATTTCATCTGTATTCTTTCTAGATTCAAAGACTGGCCAAAAAATCACAACAAAAATCAATACATACTTTAATATACCTTATACCTTGTAAAAGTAAAAACTCATATATGGTGGGTTCATGAAAAATAAAAATAAAGTATTCACTCCTCTTTTATATCTTGCATTTGTAGTCTTTTTGCCCTGGTGGATTTATTTCTTATTGAATAAATGTCTGGGATCTTGGATTACTAATTGGTGGACTACTAGGCAATCCGAAAGTTTCTTCAATAATATTAATGAAAAGAGTCTTCTGGAAAAATTTATTGAATTCGAGGAATTTCTATTATTGGACGAAATAGTTAAAAAAGACGTGGAGACACACCCACAAGAATTTATTATAGGAATCCATAAACAAGCAATTCAATTAATAAAGATACAAAAATATAGTGATATCCATCTTATTTTTCGTTTTAGCGACAAATCTAATCTGTTTTTTTATTCTAAGTGTTTCTGCTATTTTGCGTAATGAAAACCTAAGTCTTCTGAACTCTTGGGCTCGGGAATTCTTATATAACTTAAGCGACACAATCAAAGTATTTTGCATTCTCTTATTAACTGATTTATGTATCGGATTCCATTCACCCCGCGGTTGGGAATTTATAATTACCTTTATTTCTAAAGATTTGGGATTTTGTGATAATGATTTAATTATCTCTGGTCTTGTTTGCACCTTTCCAGTCATTCTAGATACAATTTTTAAATATTGGGTTTTCCGTTATTTAAATCGTGTTTCTCCGTCACTTGTAGTTCTTTATCATTCATTGAATGAATGATTGAAGACTCTATGGGATTCATAATTCAATTTGAAGATTAATTTTTTTCTGTTTTTCTATTGTAAATAAGCGAAGCATTAAAAATATTACTTCATTACTTATTTTATAGAACTATTTTTTTTATATTTTATTCCATCAAATAGCAGAATCCTGGGTAGCAAACTATACTAGTGACCTACCCCATTTTATTGTATCAATTTTGCAATCAACGATTCGACTATGCAAACTCGAAATCATTTTCTTTGGATAAATAAACAGATTACTCGATTGATTTCCGCATTGATCATGTTATATATCATAACTCTGACATCCATTTCAAATGCATATCCTATTTTTGCACAGCAGAGTTATGAAAATCCACGAGAAGTAACTGGGCCGTATTGTATGTGCCAATTGCCATTTAGCTAATAAGCCCGTGGAGGTTGAGGTACCGCAAGCGGTACTTCCAGATACTGTATTTGAAGCAGTAGTGCAAATTCCTTATGATATGCAACTTAAACAAGTTCTTTCCAATGGTAAAAAAGGGGGGTTGAATGTGGGGGCTGTTCTTATTTTACCGGATGGTTTTGAATTAGCCCCTACAGATCGGCTTTCTCCCGAGATGAAAGAAAAAATAGGCAATTTGTCTTTTCAGAGCTATAGACCCTCGAAAAAAAATATTGTTGTGGTGGGCCCTGTTCCTGGTCAGAAATATAGTAAAAATAACCTTTCCCATTCTATCTCCCGATCCTGCTACTAATAAAGATGCTCATTTCTTAAAATATCCTATATATGTGGGTGGGGAAACAGGGGAAGAGGCCAAATTTATCCCGACGGTAGCAAGAGTAACAATACTGTTTATAATGCTACAGCAACAGGTAGAGTTAGCAAAATAATAAGAAAAGAAAAAGGGGGTTATGAGCTAACCATAACGGATCCATTGGATAGTCGTCAAGTGATCTATATTATCCCTCCTGGACCAGAACTTCTTGTTTCAGAAGGGGAAGATATCAAATTTGATCAACCATTAACGAATAATCCTAATGTGGGGGGATTCGGTCAGGGAGACGCGGAAATAGTACTTCAAGATCCATTACGTGTCCAAGGACTTTTGTTATTTTTGGCGTCTGTTCTTGTGGCACAAATATTTTTGGTTCTGAAAAAAAAACAGTTTGAAAAAGTTCAATTGTCCGAAATGAATTTATAGACTTGTAGCATTAGCAATCTAAAAGAGACGATTCAGTGTTATCCATAATAGACGATTCAGTGTTATCCATAATATATAATTAAATTAAAGTCAAATTCTCAAAAACCTTTAATATCTTTATACTATTATACTATATTTGCCAAATTTTATACTAACTGCTGGGAATTTCCGGTCATAGATCATAGTATGTCTATTTTTACTTTTATATTTTAAAGAAGATTTTTGGCATAACTCTCTATTTCATAGTTTTCTATTTCAAATTAAAGTAAAAATTAAAGTAAATTAGAATAGATTTTGCGTCTTCCTCTTTTTACTTTATCAATACAGGAAAAAAGAGAAAGTAAGGGGAGGAGGTATATATAATATTGGTTCAAGATTTAGAGTATTGGTTTCTAGTTTTGAGGCGTATTTTTATACCTCATTTTGAAAATGAAGAAAAAAGATTTTATATATTCTATTATTATAATTATATAATATATAATAATAGAATATATAAAATGAAATGATCGAACTTAAGATCTATATTTTTTATAGCAGCCTAGCACTTTATTCTTTGTACTTAAAGTACTCAAATGAAAATATCAATCTATACGGTAATAGAGACCAGGC